CGTCACAATTTCAACCCCGGAGACAGATTCAAACTTGGGACAATCCCCTTGCTTATTGATTTTTAAAGTAAATGTTTTAAAAAAAAAAAAAAAAAAAAGAAAGATAATAATTTTTTTTGATCCTTTTTTTTAAAACTGTAAACTTGATAAAACCTTTCTATCCAAATCAGTGCCTGAGTGGTGTGTTACTGCGGGCCCCTGTCTGGGAGCTGCACCGTGGTCCTTGGTGCTGGAAGGTGGCTGGTGGTGGCCAGAGGGGTGGCTGTGACCTCTCTGTGTGTGACATCTCCTGCCCCGGAGCGTGGGGGGATGCTGGGGCCACCCCCCAGTGTCCTCCTCGAGTGTCCTTTAGCTCATCCCGCAAGGAATTTGGGGCTGAATTATGGGTTTCGTGGAAGGCGCTTGGGTTGAAAGGTGAGAAATCCACCCCATCCCGTGCCCTCCTGCAAACGCCATCCCAAAAAAGCCCCTTCCATCCCCCAAAAGCCACCCTGCCGGGGTGGGGAGAGGATTATCCATGGTGGGCACGGGCTCCAAGGATCCAGGAGGAGCTCCAGCCTGCCGGGGGTGCTCCCTGCCATACCAAATGAGCCCGGGCTCCGTCTCGCCGGAGCGGAGCCGCCACAATTTGGGGCTGAATTATGGGTTTCGTGGAGGGCGCTTGGGTTGAGAGGTGAGAAATCCACACCGTCCTGCGAATGCCATCCCAAAAAAGCCCCTTCCATCCCCAAAAAGCCACCCTGCCGGGGTGGGGAGAGGATTATCCATGGTGGGCACGGGCTCCAAGGATCCAGGAGGAGCTCCAGCCTGCCGGGGGTGCTCCCTGCCATACCAAATGAGCCCGGGCTCCGTCTCGCCGGAGCGGAGCCGCAGCGGGGGTGTGGGGGGGGGGGGGGGGGAGGGGGGGGGGAAGGTTGTGCTGATACTTTTCCCCCTTTTTTTTTTTTTTTTATTTGCCTTTATTTCAGCTCCTCAAGGTCCTTTCTCTGGTTCATCCCCCTGGTCCTGCCGCAGTGGCCGTGGCTCCTGGCTTTGGGGTGCCAGTATGTGAGTCCGTGGCGTGGATTTTTCTTGCTTTTTGGTGGAGAAGGGACAAAAGGATCCGTGTGTGTGTCCCCCCCTGTGTCCCCGTTGCTCCTCGGCCCCCGTTTTTGCTGCCAGCTCCCCTCCCCTGCCAAATTCCCTTGGCTTCTGGGAGACACCCCGTGCGAGCGCTCGCTCGCTCCGCAGCGGCTCTGCCTTTCTTGGCTGACAATAGTCCCTGGCTGCAAAACCTCATTAGATTAATTGGCCTTGCCAGCTTCTGAACAAGCAAGGCCTTTAGTCGTGCTGGGGCACAGAGGGCAGGGGAAGGGAGGGGGGGAATCTCTTGGGCTTCCACCCCTGCGTGTCCCAGCTCCTGGCCCCATCTCCAAGCTGGGAGGAGCAGCCAGTGCCCCCCCACCGACCTGGTGGCTTTTTGGGATGGGAAGGGGCTTTTTCAGGGATGGTGTTTGCAGGATGGGGTGGATTTCTCACCTCCCAACCCAGGTGCCCCCCCAGCCCCGTGTCGGGGTGGGAGCAGTGGTGGCCAGGGCTAAATTGGTGCCTCTGCTTTATTTTTTGGGGGAAGGGGGATGGGGGGTGCGTACATGGTAGCACACAGCCCTGTGATTTTGGGGCACCAGCCCTTGAAAGTCATCTTTGGGGTGCGTATTGGGTGTCGTGTTGGTTTACTCCCCCCTCTTAAAAGACAGATGGGGAAATTTTGGTGCCTCCTTCCCCCCCGGGGGAGGAGATGACAAGCCTCACCCTCCACCTCCACAAGCCAACCCCTGGAGCCGGGGCGAGCTCTGGAGCTGGAGGAGCCTCCCCTTAGACCAGGGGAGGAGAAACCAAGCCCATGGCCATGCTCTGGGAGCCCCAACCCTTTCCCTGACCCCCCCTTTCCGGGGGCTCTGCTGTGCCTTTGATGTTTTTTGCCCGTTTGTCTCTTCCACGGGGCTGGGCCAGGCTCTGGCTTCACAGGAGGCTTCCCCCCCCCCAACCCACCACCTCCCCTTCCTTCTCCAAAAGACCTATTTAATTTTCTCCTTCAAGGTGGTGTTAGCAACACCCCGAAAGCTGCTGCTTTTGGGCGAGTGGGCTGCGTGTCCTTTCCCACCGCTGACGTCAGCTTCTCTCTTTCCCTTTTAATTCCCCCTCTGGGACCCGAGCGAGTGCAAGGCGCTGCCAGCTCCCATCAGCGTTAACAGCCTGCTCTCTCCCGGTGTGTCTGAGTGTGTGTGTGTGTGTGTCTGAGTGTGTGTGTGGTGGGGGCTCTGCCAATGTCACCCCCGGCTCGGCGCCCGCCTGCTTCAGCCAACCCTTGGCGGGTGCTTGGGGGAACGCTCCCCTCTTCCCAAAACCCCAGCCAGGGCCCTCTGCCAGCCCCCTCCTTGCACGTAGGTGTGCTGAGATGGCAGCTCAGCCCCTGTAGAAATGGCTGACTCCTTCTCTCTCTCGCTCTTTCTCCCTTTTTTTTAATGGCAGCTCAGCCCCTGTAGAAATGGCTGACTCCTTCTCTCTCGCTCTTTCTCCCTTTTTTTTTAATTTTTTCTCTTTTTTTTTTTTATTCCTTTTTCCCTGCCTTTTGCCGTTGCCTACGCGGTTTGTGTGGGGGGGGGGGAAGGCGAAGCAGGGCTCCCGTGCTGCGGATGGCTTTATCTGTAACTCTTCCATCTGCTCACAGCAGCTCACAAATAACCACGGGGTGCCAGAGGAATTATGGATTTGGAGCTCAAGTTTCTGCAGTCTGGC